AGGGTCTTCCCCTCTAGCCCTGTCACATCAGAGTCACAGCAGCAAAAGTGGTCATAATAACTGCAGCCACTGTGAAGGGAGCCTTCTTACCCTTCCCCTCGCTGAACGCTCCAGAGGGACAGGGAGGTGAGTTTACTTCTCCAGAGGAGGTAACAGGGGCTCAGAGAGGGTTGGCCAGTTGCTCAGGGCTGCCCAGCCAGCGGGCAGCAGAGTCAGGACTCAAACCCACTTGTGTTATAATGGAAATAAAATTTCTGCGTGCTGAGCTGTGCAGTAAGTTTTAGGAGGCTGTGCCTGTTAGGTTCAACGTTGTGCTCCGTGCCTAAGCCGAGTGGCGACAAACAGCAGGTGCTCAATGTATGTGGAAAGAGTCACACGTGCAATGAATCGGAGCCAGGCACCAGGCTTCGTGTTCCCTGTTGCTCACAGAATCTGTTCAATGGCTCTATGATGATGGGAGATCATCAGCCACATTTTACATGTGGGGAGACTGAGGCCAAGTGTGTGTGGGAAGCCCAGAGGGGATGGCCCGGCTCTGCCGGGTGCCTTCAGTCCAGAGCCCCCCCACTCCGCCTTCCTCTGCCCCCCCATGTTTGAAGCTCTCAGTTCCCCTCAGTAAAAGTAGCCACATCCAACCAGGAGGGCTGTGAGTTCCTGCCAATGAAGGGCCCAGTGTCCTTCCTGCAGTCCAGCAATGCCGTGTCCCCCAGCCCAGACTCTGCAGACCTCCAAGTAGCAAAGGCCCTGTCACTGTGGTGACAGGATCCACGGCTACTGCTCAAACTGCTTGGATTTTTAAACGAATCCTGCAACTAGGGCAGTGGTCAGCAGCTGGGGGTCTTGTTGGGTTCTATCACTTCTCTGCTGTGTGATGTCAGGCAAGTGCCTAGACCTCTCTGAGCCCATACTTCCTCAGCTGCACAGTGTGCATGCAGGATGATGGAACCTGCCTCCAAGGGTGTGTGTGACACGAGGGGATCCGTACACTGGCTTCACAAGGGACCGAACACTTTGCCTGACATACAGGAAGCAACCAGACAGCTACCAAACCTCATGGTCTCCCTCCTCCCTGGGTTGCCTCCACCAGAAGGCCCTCCTTGGAGCTCAGTTTTTGCTTTGTGTTCTGGTCGTCTGTCTTTGGGTCACACTGTCCTTGTTGGATTCAAGACTCTTGAAGGAAAGGCAGGGACGGATTGCAACTTGTGTTCCCACTGGGTGTGGCACCTAGAACTTTCTGAGCTAGTGGGAGCAACCAAGCTTAGGTGGTAACAAGCAGGAGTGCCTTGCAAGGAGATGCTGCCTTACCCTGCGGTGTTCCCGTGACCTCCACGGGTCTGATGGAGCCCAGGGGGGACAGATGTGGAGGACACAGCTAATTACACGTGGCTAGGAAGGGAGTCATCCACTAGATGGTGCTAGAATTAATCATTTGCTAGATATTTAAACTTCCTCGTTTCATCAAAATATATTTCAGATTTAAATTTTTAAAAATTAAGACCATAAAAGTATTAAAGAAAAAACTTCTATAATCTTGAGGTAAGAAAAGTTTTTTTTTAGAATAGGATGTAGGGCAGGTGGAGGTCTGGCAGCCTGCCTGCCTAGCACAAGGTTTGGCAAGATTTCCAACCTTCTGCGCTTACCTTTTGAATACCTGCTGTGTACCATCTACAAGAGACCCTATAAACAAGTTAAAACACAGAAGGCAAACTAGGGGAGAAGATACAAACTACGTCTAGCAGCACAAAGTTTAATATCCCTAATATACAAAGAGTGGTGACAAATCAATAAGAGCAATGCAGTCTGACAAAAAAATGGATGAAGGATCCCAGTGGTAATTTACACAAAAATAAGTAAGAATGATTCATCACATCTGAAAAGATTTCTAGTGAGCTAGTGAATGAAACAGTGTCATAAAACTCAAGCAGGAGAAAAACGGTCCAATCCTTTCTGACGCCACACCCTGGATTTGTGGTCAGTACATGACCATGATATATTTTCTTTCCAGGGTTTTTGTCCTTCTCCTCAGAACTCCAGCACAGTAGCCCCAAGCCAGGTCCTCCTGAGCACCCTAAAAACCAGCATTGAAAGGGGTTCGGTAAATTCCAACACAGCTACTGTTGTAGTAGCCTGCAATCTGAGAGTCTGTATTCGAGTACAGACTGTTAGACACAGCAAGCCAGAGTCACCCAGGCTCTGTCACCTCACAGGGAAACATGGATTTCACACTGGGAAAAGAAGCAAGACACAAACTGCAAAATGGTTACGTGTGGCCTCAGCTGCCGTTTTGAAAAAGCACACAGAGAAAAGGGGGAAAAAAAGCCTGAAAGATTATTTTCCCTCCTTCAGGTTTTCTGCACCTGCCGAGGCTGACTGTGTGCATTGCTTCTTTTACAACTGTGGAGACATGCTGAGAACCCCAACTGCTGGGAACCATTTGCTTTCCTACAGACTCAGTAAGCCTATGTCCACACCTGGTGACCTGACAGAACCCGTGTGACCAGTTGCAGGTCTTGTAACTCTCAGACCAATGTCATTGGTTGCTGGTTTACTCACCCAGCTAAATGCTTTTGGGCACAGAGCACTGTGCACATCTGACTGATGAGCAGTTTCTATTACTACCTGTCTTCTAAGATACAGCAACCAGAGCTCAGAGAGGTTAAGGCCCCTAGCCAAGGTCACACAGCTTGGAAACACCACTCTGAGAGTCACATGGGTGTGTCTGCAGCCACAGCCCACCTAACCACTCTGCTGACCAGCCTTACCCAGAGACAGGGGACAGAGCAAGCCACATGTACCAGGAATTGTCAAATCCTGCATTCGAATTAAAAGAAAAAAAAAAAAAAACCAAAGCAAGGCAGAAAAGGCATCGGAAGCACTCACCTCTCTTCCCGGCTGCTCAGGACTGTCGGTCTGCCCGCCCTCCCACTTGCTCTCGCCTTGTCCTGTGTGTCCCCTTCTGGTCCCCTTTCACTCATCGCCCAGCTCCCAGGTTAGCTTTTAGAGGCTGGGTCGGTACCTAGTTAAGTGACTCTGTGAGCGGGGAAGACATGAGCCGTCACCAGAGCCGCCCAAGTCAGAGAGGTTTAAATCAAATCTTCCTCCACAACGATGACATTAATTATGCTTTTAACACGTTTTACTGCTTTTTTTCTCACTTCACGCCACATCTGTGTGAACAATATCAGAAAGATTTACGGTTTTCTTTCATAATTACAGACACACAGGCCGCACACTTATCAAAATACTTGCTGAGCAATCAGCCCATATCGCTTTTTCTGCCAAAGATTTGTGTTGGCAGCAGTCGTTCAAAACAAAAATGTTGAGTCAGGACTTGTGTGTGGCTTGGGTGGGGGGACACAGTTGTTTTGACAAATAATTTGCCTGTCAAGAAAGCTACAGACAGAGAGACCACGCGTCCAGGCTTCAGGGCCAGGGCTGGGATGGAGAGGCCAAGGCCACGGTAGGCTGGGGAGCTCTGAGCACTAAACCCACATCTGACATTTGGTTCTTGTGTCTGAGATAAAATTTAATGAGAACAAAAATATGTCTTCCTAATTCCCCTAAGAAATCATTAAAACATTTTGTTATTTTAAAATGCCTCGAAAATGAATTACAGCCCCTGAAGGGGCCATTTGTGTGGTTTGTTTCCATCAGTTAGGGCTCTTCATTGTCCAACTCGGTGACAGCTGGGGACGTCCCCTCCCCCATGTCCTCAGTGGAGAGCTGGGAAGGCAGACGCAAGAAGTGAGCACCAGGCTGAGTGACCTCTGTGCTCCCCGGCTTCGGGGACAGGGAGAAGGGCAGGTGGACCCCTGGAAAGCTCCACACTGGGCTGCAGGGCTCACACGGACCTTGGCTGGCCCTGTGCCCGTGTTTAGCGCCAGAAGGAAGAGGGTCTCAGAGTGTCCCCAGGAATGGAAGCGTCCATTCCAGGTGGGGGTCATGACCCCTTCTCACTGTTCCCCTCTCTGTCTGCCGTCCATGCTGGGTCGTGGACGGGCTGAGGCTCCCTGGGCGTACGATGGCAGCTTATTTGAGCCATTTTCTGGTCACCTATGCCACCAGACAGTGAGCAACACAGTGCTGACTCCGGTTCTGGGTCAGTAAATGGGAGCGTGGCAGGGATGGCCGTGTGACACAAGGGAATGACAGGCCTGCCCACCCCACTGCAGTCGAGCACTCTCAAACTGACCATGCCTGAGACCCCACCAGTCCATGAAATGACGCCCCACCCGCACATCTGACCCTCCAAGGGGGCCACTGCCCGGCTTCCAGCAGCACACGGTCATTTTGTCACTTTTTTGGCAACAGTCACACAGCATAAAATGTTCAGGGGCTCCAGTGCCTTCTCCACGCTCTGCCACCCCACCTCTGTCCAGTTCCAGAACATTCTTATCTCCCCCAAAGGAAACTCCATACGCATAAAGTAGACGCTTCCAATCCCTTTGCCCCCACCCCGGCCACGGCAACGCGCCCTGTTCTGGACATTTCCTGTAAAGGGAATCGTGCAATCTGGGGTCCTCGCTGTCTGCCTTGACACATTCAGCATTGTGTTTTCGACGCTCTCCCATGGTGCACCACGGGTTACCACTTCACCCATTTTCATAACTGAATAATACTCCCTTGTATGGACCTGCCACATTTTTGAGATCCATTTGCTTGGCTGTGGACACGGGGTTGCTCACCCCTGGCTCTCTAAGCAGCGCTTGCAGACTGTGTCTGTGTGTTTTCTGTAAGGGGAACCATGTGTCAGGGGCTCTTTGGGGTCTGGCTTTCCCCTCAACAAGGTTTTGAGGTTAGCACTGCCATTCTGCAGAAAAGCTTGGAGATGCCTCTCCTGTGCCCCCTGCTGGCAGAGCACTGCTACCTCTGTCACCTGTCATCGTGGGAGGGGCTCTGACAGGTGGAATACAGGGAAATGTCACACCAGGTTGGGTGAAGCCCCCGGCCCCCTCAGCTGTGTCCTCTCACTCAGTTCCGGAGCGCCCTGTGTTTCTTACCTGGTGCTTCAATTAACTGCTTGTACACACTCAGAAAAGCCGCCTCCGCCTCCTGACTCCTCTTACTGAGGGCCACCACCTTTGGAAACAAGAGAAAGTGTCACGTGTCACCACGGCCCCTGGGGCTGTATCAAATCAGTACAGATGTTGGATGGAAGAGCTCAGATGGTAGAAGTCTGAGTTCAAAGTCCAGCTCCCCTATGTCATGGCTGTGTGACCTTGGACAAGTCACTCCCCTTCTCTGATCCTCAGTTTCCTCACCTATAAAATGGGGAGGGGGATAAATAAAAGGACCCTCCTCCTATGCCTGTTGTGGGGATTAAATGAAGCCAAATCTGAGTGCTCAATGCACGGATAGGCAAATAGGCTATTAGTTCAATAACTGTTCATCATGAAAGGATAATGCGGGAGGTTCAAATATGACACGTTTTGAAAGAAAATCAGACACATCTGGGGAATGTTTTCTGCTAGTGAAAATTAAGGAGAAACTGTTAAAAGTTCTTGAAAGATATCAAACAGCTTCAACACGGTCGGAGAGTACCAGAGATCTGTGAAACGGTTCCCAGCACAGTATCAGCGCTCAGTAAAAGCCTCCTGACCGAACGGATGAACACATGGCGGACAACCCAGGGAGGAGGGCTCTGTTTGTGCCATCTTTCTTTTTGCTTCTTCTGTTTTCTTTTTTGCAGTACTGGGGTTTGAACTCAGGGCTTACACCTTGAGCCACTCCACCAGCCCTTTTTCGTGATGGGTATTTTTGACATAGGGTCTCCAGAACTATTTGCTCAGGTTGGCTTCAGACTGTGATCCTCCTGATCTCTGCCTCCTGAGTAGCTGGGATTATAGGCGTGAGCCACTGCCTTTGTGCTCAATGAGACATTGTGAGCAAATGAATGTCACCTATAATGTGCACGTGGGTGGCTGGGTGGCTCTCGAAGGGCCGGTGGCCACAGCATCATCTCATCTTCCAGTTCCAGACCTGTGGAACTGGCCTGTGGGCTGAGTCGAATGTGGCTGGAGTGAGCGCCTGGTACACACAGGCCACCAAGCCCACATCTACAGGACACGAGGCTGGGCGCCACTGTGGCCTGTGGCGATCCTGATTCTCCTGGGCACCACATGTCTCCTTTTGCACTGGTTTCCTAAGCGGTGCGTCTACTGGAAGCTCTGGCTTGTCATTGCTCCTTCCTATAACTTGGCTTTGCCCATAGCTCCCCCGAGGGAAGCACACAGATCTGCCACCAGCCCCGTGAAGGAAGCTCTGGGCTCCACCTGGCCCACGGTAGGTACTCAACAGAACGTGTGCAACGAATGAACTCCACATCCTGACCAGAACGCCATCCTGGTCTCACATTTGTTCCCCCCCTGCCCGTGGTGATTTCTGAGATAGTCATTTCAGAGGTGGCGGACCATGGCACAGGCCCTGTGTCCAGGTCACCTGGGTTCAAGTCCCAGCTACTTCTCCACTGATAACACAATGACCCCTTCCGTGGAGAGTGCATCACGTTACTTAACACAGGAAAAGCCTTTTGAAAAGCTCCCAGCATGCATTAGGTCTTCTCCTTCTTGCCCAAACAGTGACAGGTCCTGCCAGTGCTGGGTGATGACCTTAGCTGTGTTTGTCTCTAGGGTCCTAAAAACCAGCCAAGAAACACCCCACCTCCCCATGTGCCCCAGTGCACTCTGGGAAGAAGAATCAGAAAACCAATATGGCAGCCACGCTGTCCAATATGGTGGCCACAAGACACGTGTGGCTTCAGAGAATTTGACCTGTGGCAAGTCCAAATCAAGATGTGTGAACTATACAAGACTTCAAAGACTTAGAACAGGAAAAAGGGATAGAACACTCGCTCATCCACGATTGTAAGAACACCGATGACACATCAAAGTGATAACATGCAATCACTTCTTACTTTTTCAGAATGTGAATCACTTTTTATTTCCACTGGACAGCACTGTCTGAAGATTTTGCAAGGCCTGCAGAGAACTAGTTAATTAAGAGAAGTAGAAAGATATGTTTGGGCCATGTTGAACAAGTGATTAAAAGGCCCAGTTACAAAGGCTCCTTAATCTCCCATTCTTCTGAGAACAGTCCCTGGTCTCTGACCTTCCACAGTGGAGACAGTCTCTCATTCACTCAACAACACCCAGCACTGGGAACTGAGAACAGCTATGAAATGATACATACTTGGGCCCCTTATGGAACTTCCAGCCTGGTGGGGACACTAACATCAACGCAGATTCTCCAAGCGACCCTTTAGTTACAAGTGCTACATGCATGGAAGGAAAAGTCGGAGGGCAGGAGAGGGTGCAGTGGGTGGGGGGGCTGACTCAGTTTTGTGGCAGGACATCAGGAATCATCTCCCCAAGAAGGGAAACATGGCAGGGAAGAGGAGAAAGGGCAGAAAGAATATTCTACAATCAAGAATATTCCACCAACCACAGGCAAACTGTCTTTTTTTTTTTTTTTTGCGGTACTAGGGTTTGAACTCAGAGCCTCGAATGTGCTAGGCAGATGCTCTACCAATTGAGCTACTTCCCCAGCCCTTTTTGTGCTGGTTATTTTTGAGACAAGGTCTTGTTTTATGCCCTAGTCATCCTGGACCACCATCCTCCTATTTATATGGCCCATGTATCTGGGATGACAGGTGTGCACAACCATACCCGGCTTTTTTGATTGAGATGGGGGTCTCTTGAACTTATTGCCTGGGCTGGCCTGGAATCTCTTGGTCTCTGCCTCCCAAGTAGCTGCGATTACAGGAGCCACCATGCCTGGCTCAGACCGTAATTCCTGTGGGATGGACAAGACACAGTTTCTGCTCTGGGGACCCAGTCTGTAGAGCCAGGAGTAGGTATGAATACTATGGTCTCCTGGAAGTTGTGAGGGGGGCAATTAATGCTGTTTGGGTGCATCTGTTTTGGGCTAGCAATGATAAAAAGACAACACCTAATATGAATCTTGATTTGTGATTAACCTGCATGGACCAATGAGTCACTGAATTGTCACTGCCGTTATCCCACTGTGCAGATGAGCAAAAACCAAGGCTCAATGACCTTGTGTGCCTTGCCCAAGGTCATCCAGTTAGCAAATGAAGGGCTGTGGGTTCAAACTGCTGTTTCAGATCCAGGCACCAGGGAAGAAAAACGACCCCAGCCATGGGGACTGGGCATTTGGACCCTGCCTGGACACTGCTGCCTCCACGTCCTCTGCAGCCACTCGATGTTAGAGGCTGCCGAGCGGCAGACCTGGTGCCCGAGGACACAATGACAAGTTCACTCTCCATCCCTGGACAGACAAAGCGAGGAGCAGCACGGGAAGTCTTGCCCACTTCATTTTGCAGTAGTCCACACTGAGCGCAGGTGGTCACTGGGGTTTGGGAAAGGCTTAAGAATGTTCCCTTGACTTCTAAAAGGGACTCTGAGCAGGGGTGGGGACAAGTGCACAAGAGCCCTGTAGTTTGGCCTGGCTCTGCTCCCAGCACCCCTGCTTTCCTCTGGTGGCACTCATCAGTTTGCAATGGCACACTGCTTCTCTGTGATGGTCTCCTTACACTGGCTGTCCTCCCCATGAGAGCTGAGCTGTCTGATACCACAGCCACCATCCAGGTGTCACTGATCACTTGAAATGGGACCATGCCACACTGAGCTAGTTCTAAGGATTTCTAAGGCTTAGCCACCAACACAAAGGAATGTGAAAGAGCCCAGTAATTATTTGATACTGATTACATGTTGAAATGATAATGCTATAGACAGAAGAGGTTAAATAAAAGATACTATTAAGTTCCCTTGCTTCTTATTTCAAAAATATAGCTACTAGAGAATTTTAAATTACTACTGTGGCATGCGTTCTGTTTCTACTAGACAGTGCTGAGCTGACCAGTGGCCCTTCGACCAAATCTGGCCCTTTGTTTGTGTAAATAAAATTTTATTGGAACACAGCCATTCTGCTATACATCATCTATGGTGTTTTCGTGCTTCCTGGGGAGAGCCTGGTTGTTGTGAGAGACCCTATGACCCACAAAGCTAAAAATATTTACTCTCTGGCCTCTTACAAGAGAAAGTTTGCCAATCCATCTAGAAGCTGGACAATACTTTCAAAGACAGAGATCAAAGACATCCTGGGATGGCCCTCAGTTAGAACAAGTTCGTGTTTAGGGCTTTTCACAGTAAGCGTGGCTCTTGAGGACAGTAGCCTTCTGGGTGTCCCGCCCCACTCAGTCTTGTTCTAGAACAATGATCCTGTCTGTTTTCAGAAGGTCGAGTCCTTAAATCCCTGATTTCTGAGTGTGACCCCGTTTTGGGCCTCTGTCCATTCATCAGGTGGGTAGAATAATCTCCACTTGCCTAAGAAGGTACAGGAGACAGTGACAGTGTCCTGCTCTGCCACGGAAGTTGGCAGTTAGATGATCACTTCATTCTTCCAGCCACCTGAGATGCTTTGCCAAGGCCTCAACTCCACACACTGCCTGCAGGCCCTGACCAGGTGAGCCCGGCAGGAAGGGCTGTGCCCACCACACAGAAGGATGGGAGGACCAGGTTGTGACAGGCAGCTCTTCAAGACCATGTGAGCAAGGAGGAAAAGGTGGCAGGGGCCAGCTTCATCCACCCTCATAAGGTCACTGTCAAACATGGTGTGGCACCGGATGGAGCATGTGGCATCTATGTGGCCCTCTGTGCTATCAGGGCAAGGATGCTTTTGTCCCCAAGCTGGGACAGGGTGGGGGATATTAAACTCAGCAATATACAAGGCTGCACTTCCTCGAGCTGTCTGCAGCCACTGTGGTGACACCCACCACTGATCCTCGTACCAAGCTCTGTGCAGCAAATGGCCGGCCACAGCTTCTGGAGGCTATGCTGGGTGCCCTCTGCTCAGAAGCCCACCAACACCTGGTCATGGCACTGCTACCATCCCACTGTACAGGGCAGGAAACCTAGGTCCAGGGAAGCCTGGTCACTCAGCCAAGGGGCAAGAACTAGTTCGTGGCAGACAAGGGGCCATTGCCCAGACACCTCACACTCACCTCAGAGCCTGGACTTCCAACAAGGAACAGCACTTTTCAAAGTGTGTCACAGTCCTGT